TCATTTATTTTAGAACGATCGTGATATAATTTGTCTATATTAAATGATGGTCAACGCCTTAAACTACACCATAGTAAGTTATGAAGGGCTTAGGCTAAAGACAAAACGGCATCCATAACCGAAAAGGATGTAGAATTAACTGTATACAATGCTAGCATGTCATTCTGTTTTAATTATTGATAGGATTGCAATTCAACATGGCAGCTATAAAACTATAACCTGCAGACTTTAATTTCTTAGAACAAGCGCTAATAAACCAAGAATTTTCAACATTATTACATAGATTTAATTTTTTCGTTTACGCATTAAAGCTTTTAAATAATGACATGGGATATTCGACGCCTATTGCTCAGCTAATAATTGCTCCGTTGATATTATTTCTGATTCGAGGTGACTTTAACCGTTCAATAGAACCAATTAAGTTTCACCCGCAAAGTTTCAATACTCGACTTCCTTAAGAAATGAATATCTATTGGGTTCTTTTCCTATGAGAATAGCGACGTCCGAGCGTTTGCGGTTCCTTAACTTTAATACTATTTCTGTAAGATCTGATCGAATGTAATTATCATGAATAGTCGCATTAAGTATTAAGCATATTTTATATTTCTTGACTAACAGAGGGAGTTCTGACAGGACATAGCTGGAAATTGAATTTCCAGTAGCGATAACTGATATCCAATTCAATTGGAATTTGATTACAATATCTATTAAGGACAATAAGTTGGAGTGATAAGATTGGAGTTAAATTAAAGTTTAGATTACAATAAGAGTAACCTTGGTGTCCAGGTCTACTTTTTCTGTAAATTAAACCACATACTGAAATAAGGGTAGCGATACTATTTTACTGGCAATGAAATTGATGATTACCATTTTGAACTGAGATAATCTTCAATTATGAATTCTTCTTATGAAAATCCTCTAACTTTATTTAAATATGGAATTATTACGCTTTCATCAGCTAATACCTAACTTTAATTGCATCGAGAGCTAATTCACCATTACTATACTGCTATTTACTGAAATTTCTAGTTCAGAAATGAATTAGTTACGTAGTTATCTAACTTATCTTAAATATCAATTTAAAACGATAAAGTAGGGTTATTCATTTATTGAAAAGTTTATGCTTTGAATCGAAGTTAATAACGAATATGAAATATGATTGCTTTACATTGTCAAAACCTGGCTAATCTAACATCACCACTTGTGTTAGTATTTCATAGCGTATTTTACTACAATAAAATCACAAGGTTGGCTAAGTAATTAAATTTTATTCATCTTTTGAGACAAGAAATTTTTTTTTTATCGATCACCATTAGGCTACACTATGATATTTATTGGCACAAAAAAATTTTCAGGCCTCTTTACTATAGACTATAAGATTTAAATGCAAGTTTCAGAATGAACATTGATTAATGTAATGAAATGACTAGTGTAGAGATCAAGCTACAAAACTTTAACAAACTTTGATTCTACTTTCGTTGCACTCCGGTCGACTTAACGCTAATGCTTTGACACCAAATAAAATTTGGGGAAATAACCGAACAACAATTTATTACAAAACAAAAATGGAGAGAAGTATAAACCGAACAACCTTACAAATACTTAGCTTTAAGTATTAATAAAATAAATGACAGACTTAAAAACTGTCAACGACCAAACAACCTTTCAAAAAAAGAAGAACGTTTTAACTTACGACAATTCGACCCCGAAGGCTTTTAAATTCAACAAGTTCTTCAAATAAAACCTTCTTCTACTCTCTCTCTAAACTTTCTAATTGTACTATCATTTATAGGCTTCGTAGAGCCGTCAGAGGTATTTAAAACTAAACATTTGCTAACCAATCGCTCTTAAGATCCGTTTTACAAAACTACTTTGCACCATTTAAGAAAACAACAATTATTCAAAGTTCAGACACAATTTACCCTACGATTCCCTTACAAAACGCTATAAACCTAACAAGCTAACTATAAAAATACATCAAACTTCATTTCTAACATAATTTCTATCATTAATACACTATAAAAGTCTAAAAATCAACCTTTAAACATCAAGATTTAGTCATAAAAACAACATTCTAACTACCTAACAATCAACACAACCTCTGCCAATTTCCATCTTATTTTCTACTTTCCTCACTATATCTCCTAATGTGACTTCAAGTCACGTCATAAAATTCCAAAGTTTCAAATTCATAACAAAAAGTCCAAATCTCAAAAATCAACTCTTACGATATTTTTCATGAATAAAAATCCAAAAATTAAAACAAAAAAATTATAATTCAGACATAAATTAAAAATAAACCCGACCGGTTCCAAAACAAGAAAATTATATCGGACACAAACCCAACCGGTCGCAGAATCCGAAAACTATATCGGACACAAATCCGGAAAAATTTGGTTTTTATAAAGATCACTGTAATCGCTTATCAAAAAAATTTATATGACTATTACGACTACTTTTCTGACATTAACCGCATTAGTATCGCTTAGTATTCGCGAGTATTGACAGTTGATGTTTTAGCGTCAGATTGTACGGTAACTATACGATTATAGACTTTATTACAGTACTTTATCGTCATGTTATAAATCCCCTTTCTCTAAGGATAGGGTTTTGCTACTAAGTCAAATTCCTTTACAATTTGAATAGACGATCAAACGCCCTTTCTTTAGATTAGGCATTTGCTCTATAGGGCTACTTCTATAGTAATCTATATAATACCTTGTAAAATAATGAAGAAGAAAAGATGGCGACATAATGATTTGGCAGGGTAAAACTTAAAGACACTATCACTTTCTAGGTATTTTCTATAGTAAAATAATACTAATTACGTACTAAGAACTACAAAGGACTCTACTTTTAGTCCTTTTACTACATTAAACTATCACAAGAGTAAACTTTCAGCAAAGTTTGTGCAAAACTTTCGGTTGTACCATAAATTTTTTTATTAGCAGATACGAGGAAAATATCACATTCAAACCGAAAACGTCGTGCTTTAATACTGTATTCCATTAATTTTATGACATCAATTAAGATTCGGTGCTTTAATACACCTAAAGATGCAGCATGATATAAACCAGCTAATAATATATACTAAACTAGTATACGTATCCATCTGCGTATACTTTATTTATAAAATAATTAATATTTCAAGTAATGCCCATGAGATTGCTATATTAAACGTTAACTTATTTTTAATTTGGTTAGACTTCATTTGAATGCATATGTATAATCTGCCTTTATTTCTAATCTCTATGGCTTATATATAGTATGTTTCTCTGGTGTTTCCAGTACATTCCATCTTATATTAGTGTTATCAGTGTCATACAGCTAAACCACAATAATACCGTTGAACATTTACGTACAGTTACTAGTGACATGAAGAACTAATGGTGAATATGATATTTCGCTACTTAATTACTAATTATAACAATTTAGTGAATCTAATAATGGTAAAAGTTATAGAAAGGTTATGTATTCGATTAATTTATAGAAGATTCTCGTATTTCACCAGCTATACTATCCTTACCAGAAATTCGATAGTTGTTGAATGAAAAGTTGGCCACACTCGTAACTGCTTCTTGACGTGTATTTAGTTCGGGCCGATAAAAAATAATGTATACTTTCGGGATAAAAAAGCAAATTAGAGGAATTAGTCCTTGACCAAGACTGGAAAAATAACCCAGCATTTGCTTCATTTCACCACGTAGTGAAAAATATGTCGGTACGGAAATCGCAGCTGAGATATTAAGTAAGAACGTGGCTAAAAAGATGTATCGAGCTTCATTGAAATTGTGGGGAAATGACCTAACCTGAAAAGCTAATATCAAGCTTACAACGGATAATATAAATGAAAGTCCAAGTGATACCGTTAATGCTGGAGAATTAGCATAATCACAGCTTAAGTTGATATAATTATCAGCTGTAATTCTTGTCGTGATTGCTATTGGCCGCAAAATAGTTAGCAACAATATGAAAATCAAGAAAATTGTCAAGAGAATAATAATCAACATGACTTGACTCTTGGTTTTCGTAAGCTTTGATAGTAGAGAATTTTGACCGATTGAATTTCGAAATATTAACCAGATTTGTATAGTTTTACATATCACCGTTGTCATTATACCAAGCTGTGTAAAGGCTATTACTATTATTTGCCACTGACATATTAGCTGAGAAACAGGCAAAAACTGGATTATAGTTGATGGAATATCGAGAGCTATAAAACTTAATAAAATATTAATCAATACAAAATTAGATCCTTTAACTACTGGTGTTGTACGATACATAATCATTAATGACCAAATAAAGAACACCATTATCGTATATAGCGCCGCTGTTATATAAAATGTGATGATAGCACTACTGTTCCAGCTAAATGGCTGAAGTTCCATATCGATACATTCGGTTTTATTTTTATTGGCTTTCGTGAAATTTGTACATTCCTGGCAATCTAGTGAATTTATGGTGGTGCTAATACTTTGTGATTTACAAGATACACATAACCAGCAGCATCTTTGATTAAGTACTGTGATATTGGGATTATTAACACGATATGAACCCGGCTGACAATTATCTGAACATTGCGCTTTTGGTATCTCATACCATGGTTTATTACCATTCCAATTTATCATTTGGATATTTATATTTAAGCCAAATTCTTCACTCCAGCTACCTATACTGACGGGAATTATTGCAGATTTATTATTTTTATTGACTGATTTAAAATTAATAATATCGATATTAAGTGAACTACTTCCATCGGACTGAAAATAGAAAAACTCGTCTGTAAAGGTTTTAAACTTTACCTTTTTAAAGAATTCGTTATACTTATATTGATAATTCGAATCGAAATGTAAATTATCAATCGACGGACAATAACTTGTATTGCAGCCTAATTGATCATGTAAGGTATGAGCTAAAGCTAGAACACTATCTATGACAGACGCTGAAATAGGATTAACAGTGTAAAATGAATGTGCAAAATTTTGTTTGACGTGATAATCAATCTTACAGCTCGTCTTGTTAGCTTGATCTCTACGATTTCTTAAAGATTGTAAATGTTGGTGTATAGCACGTACAAACCAAGGATTTTTTACATTATTACATAAATCAAGATGATTTAAGTATTGATCAAAATTGTTTATTCTTTTCATATTTGGACCAGCACCTAATACTCCATCAATTACGCTAGAATTGATATTTTTAATTCTTGAAGAAAGCATCCAACTGTAAGAACCAATCCATGTTTTACCCTCTAAATTTTGATTTTCAGCTTCCTTTAAAAATCTGAATACAATATTTTCATCTCCTAATAAAGCGATAACATTTGTCCGTTGCTGATTTCTTATTGCTGTAATGACACTTCTAAAATCCGAGGTAGTATTTTTATCATAGAGGATTGCCTTATATGCTATACAAATACCATGTTGTCGTAACTGTAAATCAAATTTTACGACGGCTGAATCTAAATTATTTGATATTGCAAGAACAATACATATCCAATTCCATTTCATTCGGGTTAGAACGTCGATTATGATTTTCGTTTGGACATCTGGAGATGGAGAAGTACGATAGAAATAGGGGAAGAATTTACGATTATTCAATGCAGGATTAAAAGAATTATAACCAATCTGAATAATACGTAGACTACTAGTGTAAGAAGCCAATGATGTCGTGATATGTTCAGATTTTTCTGCAAGAACACCCAAAATATGGGAATGATCAGTGTTGCTACGATTTAATACCTGTGACCCGCTAGAATAAAGATCGTGAGTATTTGTAGACGATCCAGAGCAATTATACTGATCGTAATTTTGTTGTTTAGGCAATAATATTAATTTTGTTGATAGCGAAGACATAGCCAGTTGTGGCGAAGAACAAGAATCGATTATTGTTAATCCAAGTTTTATACCAGGTAGTAAATTTGAATTGTTATTGACTAGCATTTCGATAGCATAGATACTGGCTTGTGTTAGTTGTATATTAAGCATACTATAATTAGAGCATTTCTTAAATGAATAGTTATAATTTAGTGAATTAGGAAAGATTCCAATAATTTGAAAATTAGCTTTTTCCGAAGCATTATTAATAGATTGATTAGAAAAGATCAAGTAGCAAGATATCAGTATAATAAAAGGAGTTTTGGCAAATTTTTTCATGGCTATGTTTACACAAAGATAAGATAAAGCAAATGTAATTTTTCGGTCATCATAATGTATGTTTAGCATACATACTTAATAGGTAAAGATTTACTTTTTGACAATTCTGCCAACACAAGGAGAACATTTGTAATGCAAAAGCCGGCATTAAAGTAAGGGAATCTTTCAGACTTTAATTGATATCATACTATAATCTAAAAATGTTGTGCTTTTTAGTATGTAAGGCTTATTTATAAGTACTGTGCCCGTTCTTATTATCTCAAGTAAAATCATCGTATAAGTAAAAAGAATTTAATTATTAAAGATTTGAGCATATGGCACATTATATCAAAAATAATAATCCTAATTCCTGATACTGTGAGTTAGGGCGTGGCAAGTTAATGTATTTTTCTGGCTTTTGTTAAGATTTTTAAAGAATACAGTATTGACTTTTCTATAATACTTTTCTATAATTAATTTTCTATAATAACATAACTGTAAAGTAGACGCCATATACATATTTAGAGTTATGCTACAATCTAGTGGAAATTGACTTTTACTAAAAATAGACTATACCGTATTTAGAAGTAAACACTACACAATCGCTCTTAAGATCCGTTTTACTAAACTACTTTGTACCATTTAAGAAAACAAAAATCACTCAAAGTTGAGACACAATTTACCCTATGATTCCCTAACAAAACACTATAAAACCAACAAGTTAACTATGAAAATACATCAAACTTCACTTCTAACATAATTTCTGTAGTGTATTTAGAATATACTGTAACTATATTCTACCCTTAAATATAGACATGTTGTATTGCTCTTATATTTAGACAGATCTACAGTCCGCTTACTCTACATTCATATATAGACTACTGTATTTAGTTATTACGGTACTCGCTGTTTTCTACAATCATCTGCTATTTTGTAACCTGTTATGGTATATGTTGTATCAAATTCCACAATCCGATTCTCTGCATGTGCTCTATCTTCAAAACTATAAATACCGGCGATTTCTACCTCAGAGTTCATTAGCCTCTCAGTTAGTCTTCTAGTTAGTTTCTCACAGTCTAATACTTCTACTCGTTACACACGACAGCTTGCACGCTGATCTACCGTAACTACCTCACTGTACTTCACATTACTAACCTACAATAAAGCATAACTTTTATAAACCCTTTGTTGCAATAATTGTAAATGGCGACTAAATCTCAATCCTCTGAGATATCGAACCCTCCATCACAATTTCTCATTAATGCACCATAAAAGTCTAAAAATCAACCTTTAAACATCAAGATTTAGTCATAAAAACAACAGTCTAACTACTTAACAATCAACACAATCTCTGCCAACTTCCATCTTATTTTCTATTTTCCTCACTAAACTCTGCTAATGTGACTTTCAAGTCACGTCATAAAATTCCAAAGTAACAAATTCACAACAAAAAGTTCATATTCAAAAATCAACTCTTACGATATTTTTCATAAATTAAAATCCAAAAATTAAAACAGGAAAATTATATCGGACATAAATCCGACCGGTTCCAGAATCCGAATCCGAAAAATCCGGATTTTATAAAGATCACAGTAATCGCTTATCAAAAAAATTTTATATGACTACTACGACTACTTTTCTGACATTAGTATCGCTGAGTGTTGACAGTTGATGTTTTAGCGTCAGATTGTACGGTAACTATACGATTATAGACTACATTACAGTACTTTATCGTCATGTTATAAATCCCCTTTCTCTAAGGATAGGGTTTTGTTACTAAGTCAAATTCCTTTACAATTTGAATAGACGATCAAACGCCCTTTCTTTAGATTAGGCAATTGCTCTAGGGCTACTTGTATAGTAATCTATATAATACCTTGTAAAGTAATGAAGAAGAAAAGATGGCGACATGATGATTTGTCAAGGTAAAACTTAAAGACACTATCGCTTTCTAGGTATTTTCTATAATAAAATAATATTAGATTCATACTGAAAGGTATAAAGGACTCTACTTTTAGTCCTTTACTACATGTAATTATTTTTGCAGATTTAACAACACTTATTCTATTAGATTTTTGAAGTAGCTTTATTTCCTAATTGAGCCCGTTGTGAAGCCTACGATTTTATCTTTGCTATAATTTAGCAATTTTAGGTAATCTAATGTATTTGTTAAATATTGTCAATCGTAAAAATAGAAAATTACTGATACATTTTCTTAGCGTAGTACTTGTGCTTGTATCAAGATAAAATATTTTTTGAGTATTTTCGTCGTGATGAATAGCTTTATTTATCAATTAAAGTAGAAATTGTTTTAGTTTACAGGAAAGCACAATGTAAACCAGAATTTTTGATCTAGTTTCTAATTTAAGGACGCTGTTCTATGTTAGATTTTTTGATTTAAGCTATTGCGATAGGAAGTCTTCAAAATATTACAGTAAGAACTAGTATTTGTGATAAAATTGAAAAAGATCAACTTCTTTAATTTGCAAATCCAGATCAAAATTTGGGTTTACACTTTACTCTATGTAAGAGATAATTACTTAATTAACGAACAAATCTAGTTATCGTTTACGAACAAAATTCTATACAACTATAAAATTAAAAGAACAGATGTTTTTCCTCTAAATCCAGGTGGTAAGCAATTCAAAGGGATTAATGTTGAAATCAAGTATTAAATAATTAGTCGTTTAATTATTACAACTCGTGCTTTTAATTGGTAAATCTGTGCCTGATTTAAAATCGTTGCACATTTTATTAGCAAAGTATGCATGATTGATCGGCCTGAAATCTTAATATCACATATTTTTAAGGTCTATTTTCTGTAAATGCTTGCATAGCTTGTATTTAGATAATGCAAAGCATCTTTTTTTATGGATGTGCATTTAGAAAACATTATAAAAATAGCTCTTAAGTGAACGCTTTGCTATACCACTGATTTTGATCAATTTCTTGGAGTACATCTAAATCCGGGATGTTGCATAGCTACGGATATTAGTAGATAATCATATCTAGCGGTAATTACTAACATAACTGTGCTAAATACGAATCAAGATCAAATATTCTAGCTAACATTCTCCTCTTCATAAAAGCAAAATAACTTTTACTTAAATTAATGAAAAAGATAGATATAATTACGAACAAAATTAAATATAAACAAAAAAATTTTATAAATTAGATGTTTATCTTCTAAGTCCAGGCGGTAGATTATACTTTATATCTAGCGAATATTAATAACGTGATATCTAAATTAATTGGTCGCCGAAATGCAGGAACTTGGTTCTACGGTGAAGCTCCGATAATTAATCAAAGGTGAGATATGGTGCTAGACCTAAGTGGACTAGTGGTGTTAAGGATGTTATACGGTACTTAGACGATAGGATAGTCGAGTTCTGTTAGTATATAATGTAGAGGTGATAGCTCGTAAAGCCTTAAGTGAGAATAAAAGTCACCTCAGAAGGCGGTAGAAACATATCTCATTAATTACAGAATGATACTGTCAAACCAAGGGATGGCAATCATTGCTAGCTTGGAATTTTTCATTCGTAGGAGCCATCTTGTGCGTAAAGCTTTAGGAAGCACTGTTAACTATATTAGATTGAGCTTTAAAATGAATTGGCCACTGACGATAAATTGACTATTGTGTTTCGTCAAAATATGTAATGAAGGATGAAAAGACTGATTTCTTTAGAGGAATTCAGCCTGATATCTAGCTATGTATATAGATTATATAGTCTGAGTCTGCTACCGTAATATTTATTTAGAGACAAAATTAAGTAATAAACTAATTTTATGCGCTAATATTGCTAGATGATCAATCGCGGGATCATTAAATAGTAGAATCAGATATAATACTTTATTGCAATAGTTAAGACTTAATAGTAAGGAATGAATTAAGGATAAGGTTTTATAAAATTAATACTGCGGTATACTCAAGCTTGTTAAGTTTTCAAGAAACTAATTCTCATGGCGAAGTTAATAAAAGTAAGAATAGCCTTTACCGGTTAAGTCTCAGTGTTATTTCTATTATTCGAATATCCCATGTCATTATTTAAAAGCTTTAACGCGTAAACGAAAAAATTAAATCTATGTAATATGTTGAAAATTCTTGGTTTATTAGCGCTTGTTCTAAGAAATTAAAGTCTGCAGGTTATAGCTTTATAGCTGCCATGTTGAATTGCAATCCTATCAAAAATTAAAACAGAATGATATGCAAGCATTGCATACAGTTAATTCTACATCCTTTTCGGTTATGGATGCCGTTTTGTCTTTAGCCCAAGCCCTTCATAACTTACTATGGTGTAGTTTAAGGCATTGACCATCATTTAATATAGACAAACTATATCACGATCGTTCTAAAATAAATGATTATGAACAAAAGATCCGATCTAAAGGAAAGTGGTACACTGACATTAATTTTGGATCGGATAGTATTAGATCAATTTCATTTGATGTTATTCTAATACAACAGCACTACCATTCAAATAGAAGTAGTCTTGATCTAATACGTATTGGCAAATGCTGTACAAAGAAAAGGCTAGCGATCAATACAACAGCAATAATTTGGAATGGTGGAGAATTTCCATTAGCGCACTGTAGCGAGGACTGTCCACCTTGCTACTTTACTAGTGTTAATGGTAAGCATAAAATGAGCTTTTCACTGTGTTGCTGGATGTGCAATCGATGTATATGTTCTACCATATGTACAATCACCAATCAAGTAAAATTTACTTCATGCAGCAATTTTGACTGCCCTAAATGAAAATAATACCCTATGTCTGACATATCAGATTACTTATTCCAAGTTATTACGGATCTTTTCGATGGCATTCTATTGCCTAACAATAACATATAGTATATTATTCTGTTATTATTTATTTGGATATTTATCATTGTAAAGCGAAATACACCAATCATAAAGGGCAGCAACTTCCTCTTAATTAAATCTACTCTTACCATATACTACATTATGCCTTCCATCCGCAGCACTACTCTTAGTTCATAAAGATTCATTGTTATGTTCAGTACAAATAGTCCTTTTTAGTAACAGTCAAATTTGGACGGCAGTAATCTTAATGAGAAATATTGGTCAGATTATGATAATATTGAATAAAAATTATGGTAGGAAGACGCTATTAGGAAAACTATTTGAAGCGCTGAATGTGTTAATATTTGTTGTGGCCATGATGTTAGCAATTAATTCCATAATTTTAAGCTTAATAGCTTGCTAACCAAAAAACATCATCATGATCAGCACTGGTACCTATTAATTGAACATATTTGTGGCTATGGTACTTCTCCAGCTTTTATAGCTGCTGTTGCCATTTGGACTACACTAATCATTTTAGGTCTTGCAATTTGCTATCATTGCCGTTCATTACCTTATAACTTAAACGATGCAAGATATACTTTCATAGCTTGCACTTTGTATTCTTTTACTATTATTATTACGACTCCGGCCCTAGCATTTACATCTAAAAAATTTCATGATATAGTAGCAGCTGTTATCTCATTAAGTAATGGGTTTATAACATTAGTATGATGCTACTTGCCAATAATATATGCTATTTATTATCGACCTGAATTAAATACTCGACGAAATGATATCGATGAAATTACAAATTATACAATTTTTAAAAACTTTAGACAGCTTGAAATAGCGGTAAAGAGAGCATCTAATATTGATCTACTTGGAAACATGAGTAAGGCGCAAAATTAGGGTAGTATTTTAGTGCAAATACAGAAGTTCATTCTAAAAAGCTACTGAAAATGCCTTTCAATAATTAGTTGCAATAAAATGTTATTATTACTACTACTCTCCATGTTTTCTTGGTAACAATATTATGGACAAAACCGATAATTCTAAATGTAAGGCTGGTAAATTAACAATATTTGGTGATACATCACCGCTTATATAACATCTATGTGTTTAAAATGATGCTAGCTTTTAATATCTATAGTAATATACAGAAGAAATGAAGTAATTGAAGACTCTATCAAAATATGAGTCAGTAATCTAATTTTTGTAGTTGATATTTGAAAATAAGTTAAAAAATTACTATCTACCCTGTAAAGACATATTTAAGAGTACATGTTCTACAGACATGCATACGTATTACAATAATTGCAAGTATTATTCCTATAAATGAAGTTCTTTTTCTATAGATGTTCTATTACAGGCAATTGTTTTAGAATGCTATAATACTAGCATTTATAATAACCTGAAATAAAATAGTTCAACAGCAATGGGCGATACTTAATAAATAATCTATATCATATCATATAATTTTGGCATATCAAAAAAATAAATAATGCATGTGTAATGTAACTAGTATTGTGATTGTAGACTGTTAGCCATGTTTAGTATAATGTACGGTAGATATTTATCCTAAGAGATATTTGGTAGCTATAACTATAGACTGTAGTGGCATAGACTCTATGCTAGAGTACAGATGACTATATACAGTAAGGTGTTGAGTTACTAATAAGGTTATAGGTAAAAATAGAACTGTAAATCATATATTAGGAAATGGTTAATTTATTGTACTTTGGCTGGTGCGAATAATGTCTACGTAAGTACTGTAGTGGTATCCATATTGGATTAAAGATGGTCCGCAGTAGAATAGTCTTACTAAGAATAATTTAACTAAGTGTAAAATGCGGTAAAAGGTTGCCATGCGGATTGTAGCTGCGAATGCTACGAAAAGTATAAAAGCATGCAACTTTAGATTATTCTGTTAGTTCTATGTAGAAGTCTTTAGTAGTAGTATTCGGCTAGAGTAGAGCTGTGTGTAGTAAATATTTGTATAAGATTCAATAAAGCCCTTATTTTTCTAAAACTTGGAATTTCGTGATTGATATATATCACAACATGATATTAAATTGATACACTTATGCTAACTTAACTATGATGAACTAGTCGATTAAACCAAGAATCTTGTAGGCACCATTATTTGACCGTCACATTTTCAGATTTCATTCGAGAGAAAAATTACAAGCAAAATCAAGTTAATAACGATCTCATTATCTTATGAATGTAAGCAAACTTATGAGGAAATATGTTTTTTATTATCTTGGGTTTTATAATAGAAGATTTCTTTTCGAGTTTAACTTTTATACCCTTTAATTAAACCGGTTCTTAAATTCTAAGCCGGGTAAAAAAAGCCATATATCATGCTGAATGATTTTTAAGATCTCGTAACGAATTGTGGAGTGTAAGCGATACTAATGTCTAGAAATGCTATCAAGTTATCATAGTGCAAGCAGAGTACTAAGAAAATAAAAAATAATTAATACAAAAATCAACTATATCAAGAAGACTTAAAGTAACATTATATAATTGTAATGTGTCAATATCTAACGAAATACAAATACGAAAACACGACATATAATATTTCAATAACGAAACTAAAGTTTGCAATTGAACAACTAATCATCTCCCTACTTCCGTTTTTATTTAGCCAACCAGGTTAATTTGTCATAAAAATAGTATCACTCTTAGAAATATTTTGAAATAGCTGGTATCAATAATAGTTTGTCTGTGCAACTATTATTACATCATGCTGCATTCGAAATCTACATTAATAGGGACAGTATCACAATTTCTTAGAAAATGTTATTGCAGCATACTATACGTATATTATCAATAACTAGTAGAACGTCAGAGTTATATTTAGGTCAAAAAGTCACACAATGTATTTGTCACAAACTAACTTCGTGACAAGGATAACTAACATGAAACAAATCTCTAAATTGCTAAAGTCTTTGGGATTAAGTATCCTTTAACTACCTCACAAGAATTTAGACGTCTTTGCTTCTAAGTTAAGCGACTAGAGAATTCCTATTTTATTCAGCTATCTGCCGATCTCAAATACCCTTCGGTTGCAGCTATCGTGAATGAGTCATCAATAGATTATTAAATCTAATTCATATTGAATAGCAGAATTAATACAAAGATATTCATAATCCTAGGTATGAACCGAATGATCCTGTACAATTAAACTACAGTATGTCCATTTACAGAATTATCTATGATATCATCTATAAGTGAACATCTTCAGGATATTAATTACAAACGTTACAAGACATAGCACCATAATCAGTTAGCATCAGTTACTAAATAAGAACTCTTACTACAGTAGAACATAATTTACTGTAACAATATAATAATGACTGTAGTTTTTACTGTAGGCCATTAATAGTTATCACCATATATAAATGCTAATTCATTAAACGTAATCATTAACTCTTCACGGTAGTTTGTAACTTGACACTGTGTTACTGTATTTATAAATGTATATTTTATGTATGATATCCACATTGAGCATATTGCCAGAGTAATATTTAGGCCAAAATTGCTTATGTTGTAACATAAATATAAGTTATAAATCGCTATGTTATAACATCATGTAGAATTAAGGATATCATGATTTTTACCCAACTTTAATTAGAGTTTTATTTAAATTAGTAAATTAAGAGCTTTAAAAAGAAATAGAATTAATGACAATAAATATAGTAGGTCTATTTCTGACGTCAATTTTCTATTAAATGATAAGATTAAAATTATTGATTCCTAATTGTTAGCACTGGCTGTTAGGATATTCAATATATTGTAGCAGCTTGGCTTTGATTAGTGGTAACAGTATTGAATGCAATAATACTATTTTAGTAGATGTCCAACTATAGTGTAAGCAATTACAAATTTTCAAAGCTAACTTAAAACGTACTGATAGAGCATTACAATAACAACATCAAATATTTATTATTTAAACGATATGAATAAAATAAGCCGGCTTGAAATAATCATTTTCCTGTTAATTGTATACATGAAAAGAGTTGCTTACATCCTAATTGCTTCCCCAACAACTAAAATTTATAAATCTTTGAATATACCAGCCTCAAAATTGAAATTCTCTTCATATTATTGAAGAAGGGTATTAATTACCTTTGAAACAAAAAATTTCATCTCACCATAACGAAGAACGTAAAAGATAGAATTTAAATAATGGTGTTGTAGTTTTAGCAGGCGACGAAATTTTTATCGTGACCTATATTTAAAGTAAGTCCTTAAGATAAAAGTGTCTTAAGTTTGAAATATCAAAATTCTTTATTGGGAGTAGAACTTATGATCGGATCTTAAAGTAATACTACAATAGCAAATGGTACTGAAGATTTGATACATAAAGGAATAAGATACAACGATTGTTCTTTATACATTAATTGTTAGAAATGCTATAAATTGCAGATGAAATGCAAGAATAATTCATTGTTTTTGGAACAATTTTATGTATTTCTTACTATTTTACTTAAAAGTTGCGGCAAAATTACAGCGGAAAAAATATAAACCTGCAACAAAGATCGACTAGAACTAGTGTCGTTAAGGTCTATAGATCTTCTTGACAGCATGGCTATATTATTGAAATTAAAAGATATATTTTTCCACAGCGTCTTTCTGTTAAGCCTAGTCAGCAACGTGACATTGAAAAATGAAAGAGCTCCAGTTTACAGCCAAAAATTTGGAAATGTTCAAATAATTGGTATTTTCCCAAATTCTTTACAATTTAACGAGACAACCAAGCTTTGCAGCCAGTGTGAACTAAAAAATGTACAACTAATGCAAGCTATGATCTATGCGATCGACGAACTAGTTAATAGAAATCCAAAATTACTACCTGGACTTAAAGTTGGTTGGACATTGATTGATTCCTGTAAATCGCGAGAACTTGCTATGGCTTCATTAGAATATCATTTCAGAAAGTCTAACATTTTTCAACTGCTATCAAGCCGAAATTTAAATTATGCCAATCTTGATCCTTTTGTCCGAACTCTGCAGTATAACTTAAATAATACAGTTAGTTCGGAACCGCCAATTATCGGCGTTATTGGTGAAGATTCTGACCATCTTACTATTCCTTTGGCCTATTATACAAGTTCCTTTCGCGTCATCCAAATTACCTATAATTCACGTACTACTGCATTAAGCTCTGGTGTTATGTGTCCTTATTTCTATCGCACGTCTATATCATATAAACAGCAAGCTGAAGCTATTGCTGATATTATTAGTAACTTTAACTGGAATTGGGTTTCAGTAATAGTTACAGGCTCTACTATTGATAGAGAATTCAGCACTACATTATTACGCCAATTCTCATTTAAGAAAATATGTGTCGCTAATAATATTGTAATATCTAATAATTATACCCAATCTGATATGATTAGCGCTATACAAAATCTGAAGAAAACGATTAAATCTAAAGTCGTTATTTTAACAGGTAATAATAAGATCATCTATGCGTTACTTAAGCAAGCTCAATCGCAAAGGCTTACTGGAATAACATGGATCGGTACTTATAATTGGTTAACCGAAGCACAAATAGCAAATATTAGCAGCGATATTATCCGTGGCGCTATTAGTATCGACGTCAATAAAAAAATAATACGCCACTTTGACGATTACTTACGTAAACTTAATTTATGCGATAGTCATGGAAATCCGTGGTTATTTGATGCACGGAAAGAAATTTCAAAATCGGCTACAGCTAACTGTAAATACGGTCCTCAAATGGCAAGGATTCTCAAAAGAACTTTTTACGTACCGCAATCATTTACAGCTTTTATCATGGACGCAGTTTTAGCCTTGGCGTATTCTTTACATCATAAATTAGGCTGTACTAATACATCTTGTCCCGCTCTTAATGCAATGGAAATTAATCGTGACCGAGAACAGTTAAATCATTGTTTAAGAAATATTCAATTTCAAGGAGTTAGTAGCGACTTAATACATTTTAACAGTGACGGTTCTAGTGGAACTGGATTTAACTTTGTTAATTATCAAAATGTATACATTAATAACTTGCAGTCGTTAAGTCCGATTGTAGTCGGTAACTGGAGTAAGGAAAATGGGTTAACGATTAATTCCACAAAAATAGTTTGGAATAGCAATAAAACTCCAACATCACGTTGTAGTAGGGATTGTAAACCAGGTTATCGCGTAAATCATGATTCCAGCTTACCTCTGAAACTGTGGACATGTTGTTGGAATTGCCGAAAGTGCTCTAGGTATAGTATCAGTACAACTTATAATCAGCTTAATTGCTCTAGGTGTCGAAATTTCTTTTACAGTAATTCAAATGGAACACAATGTATCAGTTATAAAGTTTTACGTTTCAATTGGAGAGGAGCTTTTGCAATTTTATTTTACATCATTTCATCTCTTTGCGTTATTAAAATGATATTTACATGGGTTGTCATCTACGTCTATAGAAATACTCCCGTTATCAAAGGATCTAATTATCCCTTGATGAATTTGTTATTATTCTGGTATGCAATTTGTATACTAACAGCGGGAGTATTTTTGGCACCTGATAACTCTACTTTATGTCAAATACGACTAATTTTAATTAATATAACTCAAATCGGAACCTCAGTAACAATTATTTGCAGAGTCAATCAAGTGGCATTAATTTTTCATCGCGGTTTCAAAAATAATTTTCAAAATCTATTTACGAAAACACGCACACAAATTATCCTTATATTTACGGTGTTAACCGTTACAAGTAGTATTATACTTCTGATAACTCAAATTCAACCGGTAAATATTCTTAAAATCGAGTTAGCAGATAATACTATGGATTTAATGTGCGATTATAGCTCTTCTCCTGCTTTGATTTGTATTATTGTATTTTGGCTCGCTACATTGATTTTAAGCTGCTATTTGGCCTTTCGTATTCGGTCTCTACCAGGTAATTATAATGAATCAAAAAACATCGCCGCAGCTGTGTTAATGTATGCCGCTATTGATATGATTGGATTTCCAGCCTTTCTGTCCACAACAGGGCGACTACGTAAACTTATAGGGTGTTCAGTAGCATTATTTTATGGAATAGTGACCAATGCTTGCTACTTTCTTCCCAAGCTTTATATCATCTTCTTTCAACCCGAGTCGAATACTCGAGAGCAAGCTATGGTTAGCATTGCCGAATATAACTTTTCAAAGGTCGATCCAAATTCTAAAGTTTCGGCAATATTGGTATCTTTTAATAAGAATTCATCGACTAGTTCGCCATTAGAATTAAGGAAAAAAGTAACAGCAAGCCGTATACAACCTCAAAATAATTCGATCACAGAAACTGAATATTAATGAAGCTTTTTTCCATGCGATGTTTTTCTATTGGTTCACCGACAGCATTGATGCGTAATTTGGCGCCTTTGCCAATTAGCTTACCAATCTTTATATGTGTACTTTGCTAGGAAATTTTCATTTCTTTCAGTTGGTAAAGACAAAACTTACCCTACTCATTTAATTCTCATTAAATTAACAATATTGCCTTATATTGAAGCTTAATTTTAAAATTCTTCTTCAAAGATTATATGGCAATAAGTATTGCAGCTTTAAAAAAACATCTTATTCGGCTTGATTACAGTAGATTTTACTTACTATCTTGCATATTAGTATCATGAACCCTATTACTTTATTTGGGTAAGAAATTTACAATATTATGTAGCATAATACTGTTAAGAATTATACAATATACGAGAAATTGTTACGAACTTTCTGTACCACGATTTTTCTTGTAATAAGATTAAAAGAGTTCACTAGAACTTGAATGTTAAACTGAAATTTATTATAGATATTAGTGCCATTATATGTAGGAAATAGTTAAAAAGTTCTACAACGGCTAACCTTGAATAGTAATAGGCATCTTATCATATCAATTAACGAGATAACTAAGTTTATGACGACTATCACAAGATAAGACGTATTGTGTTAACAGTGCTATCTAAGTCCTAATCTCAAAGATTACAGTTCCAAAATCAAAGCAAGTGTATGCGTTTTAGTCATCAAACATGCAGACTTTACCGTTATAACCTTGAGTCTAACGTAGTTAATCAATTACGATATTTCTACTTCGTAACAGTAATGAAATATAAAATATAACAAGAAATTTTACGCCATGGTGAAGACCAATATTTGGCGTTAGCTTGACAGTTAATGTTTTAACACGAAGTTATACGCTATAGTATGGATTATACTGTACAAGTGTACTCTACAATACGATACTGAAATATTATGAAAGCATCTTTCTCAAAGAATAGGATTTTACTACAGTTTTAGATTTATTCTAATCTCGAAAGGCTATCAAACG